ATTGAAAACTTCATATGCGAGTTAATTGATTGCCATAATTGGATTTATATTAAGCTTTGTTGCATGACATAACATTGATATTTGGATTGTCCGAGTTCCAATAATTCGTTGGAAGTGTGCTGCATGTTTGATACACCAAAATAATATACTGTTTTAAGTACCTATTTTATGCTTATTTTTTGTGATATTGCACTTTAAAGAAGGCTATTTTTATGTTTTTGTTGCAAGTATATCATTTTTAGGCATTTGAAGCAAAAATGGTAAAAATGACAAAATTTGGAGCCAAAACAACAAATTTTGGGATTCTGCCGCATGATGCGCCCAAATCTAGAGAACTGGCACATGATACTCTAGGGAAGACTTTTTTAAATTAAAACTTTTAAATTAAGGCTGTTCGAGACAAATTTTTGCATGAATTTCAAAAGGACACTTGTTCTACACACCTTCTGGAGTAATTCAACACATCTAGACACTTTGGAATGTTCTTTTATGAAGGGATATGACTCTTGGATCAAATGACACATCTTTTAAATTCAAAAGAGCTGACTTTTGGAGTGAATTTTAAATTCTTTTCCAAAGGAGGCAACCCAAAGTAAAAGAACACTTCACAGAGTTGAAGGAGGCTTTTGTTTGTGGCGTTAGAGAGAGAGGATGGGCGTGAGTTAGAGAGAGAAAAAAGAGGAGATTTTCTTTTAGAATTGTAAGAGGAGAGGGAAGGTGAGAGATTTCTTCTTCATTACACTTCTAAGAGAGAATTGGGAGTGATTATAAAGAGAGAAAGACTTGGAGAGAACTTCTAGGGATTTTCTTAGGAAGGATTGTGAGATAAGTTGTATTTTTATTTCTATTGTTTTTCAAACTTGTTTTTATATATGAAATTCGTGTTTTATCATATCCTTCTCATGAATTCTGAGCAGTTTTCTTTATCCTTCTCCCTACTTTAAGATATGGTTTTGTGAAGAATAGATTTTGTTTTCCACGGTTTTAAATGATAATAATTTGTGATGATTTGAACTCTGATATTCATTTACTTTTCGATCTGGCCAATTAAAATGTGAAAACTTGTTGAGAGACATATGTTCTTAAATGAGATATGATTTCTACAATATAGGAAGAATCACATTTAATTTCATGATAGAGTATGTCATTTATGGGATTGGGTTCAAATAAATAGAGAAATATACTTTGTTGGATGTGATTGGATATTTTAAGGTGACAGATTAAAATCCCCAATTTGATCCAGTTGATTGGAAACTAATGCAAGATTGTTAGCTCACAGGGGAGGGAGTATTGGAAGCTCTAGAGTGGCAACCCGTAACATCCCAACCTAACCACGGCATTCACGGAATTAAGGACCAAACTCTGGATTAGTTAATTTTCTTTATAGCACTCGGAAGAGGGTAAAGAATACGATTGCTCCTATTTAACACCTCCTATTTAAACACAAAACAGTTTTTATATATTTTCAAATGATTTCAATTTCTTCACAATCCATATACTCATTGTAAAGGAGAATGATGCTTTATTAAATTTGAACTTTCCGTAACAATAAAAATTGCTTGATTTTTGTAATTTTACTTTTGAAAGTTTAGTATTTAGTTTATTTTAACTTTCGTAGTCTTACATCTGCATTTTAATTAGTATTCACTTGAGTGGTTAATTTTCAAACTTCACACTTTACTTTTACTTTTATTCTTGTTTTTGTTATAAAATAATTTTCATAATTTACTTTAGGATTTTTCAACTTCCCTGTGGGATCGATTTCAAGGACTCCATTAGAGCCTTTTGTTATTGGAGTGATACGTATACTTGTGTATATTTTAAAGGGGATGTGGTAGTTTAAAAAGAATTTTAAAAGATAAATTATTTTCATATAAAGTATTTTTGTTGGGATTATATTGCATATTTATTATATAAATGTCATGTGTAATTTTGTAATATTGAAAAATATTTGCAAAATTCTCATACTAAATCCACCAGCATCAATGTTTTACAAAACAAATTTAAGCATTTAACAAATATCTATTCAACCTATGGAGCGAGGTTTTAAAAGTGTCGATGGGCAAGGTAAGGCTGAAGTTAACTAGATGCAATATATATAAATGTGGAATAATCATCGGGTGTATACAGTACCATTAAACCTGCCGCAAGGAGACAGAGAACAAGAACTGACTAATTATTTTTGCCTTCTTGGGCATCACTCTATCTAGTGTAGCTCCCTACTCAGCCTACCGAATACATACTACTCCTTATCACCATGAGAGCGAATAATGGTATGCGTTTACTAAATTTAATAGCTGTTGTTAATTACTTTTATTATAATACCTAATAATAATTGTAACTCTTCAATTGTACGGTTGAATTAGGTTATTTGTAGTAAAAATATCATAGAAAAGTTTGGAGGGCATCGTGGTGGAAGTGCTAGCCCCACGAAACAGGATATAATGAGATATTAGAGCTATCACGTAGAGTAGAACGATCCATTCACATTGATTTGAACAGCTAGAGAAACATGATTTTGATTGAGGGGCCATCTCATAGAATAGATGTCAAACTATCTAGTCCTTACAAATCTACTTTTGATGTTCCACATCGGTCAAGTTCCACTGTCACATGACAATCTGTAGCAGGAGCTCTAAAGAAATCTTCAACTTGTCAAATACGTATGTCTTCCTTAAATGTGTCGCACAAACAACAATATCCACAATCATCTACTTATCTTAGGCAATCAATATTTACAGGCCCCTCTAGCTATACAAGATCCCCCGACTGTTGGACCCTACGGATATGTAGAACACACCAGCTATACTGGACCCAACAGCTATGGAGGGCCACTGCTAATGAGGGTCCATCATATGATTTACAATGGACCATCTACCGAAAAGAATCTGGATTTTAATTTTTTTAGAGCATTCTCATAGCTGCACCCACATTTGATGCAGGGCTATTTTTCGGCACACCTCCAATTTATACTCCACATATACCCATGACGAAGAGTGTAATTATATGCCCCAACAAGCTACGAATGGCGCAACTGGAAACGATGATCTTGAAGAAGAATTTCAAGTCCACCAATTGCGAGAACGATCATTGCGACCGCCTTTTATAATTGTATTATGAAAACCTTGTATTATGATAATATTTTATTGTGAAATAATTTTTTTTTTATTTTTTGAAAACACTTTTTAAATGGCATTTTTAATTACTGTTCTAAAATGAAATTTCATTATTTTATTTTGCTCATGGACATTTTTTAATTAATATGAAACACTAAAGATAAATTTATGTCGTATAAATTTATCATTTATTTGTAACAATAATATTATATAAAATAAATATATATTAAATAGGAGGGCATTTCCAATATAAAAGCAATAAATACCTCCAGGGGGACGTTTATGATCCAAATTAAAATTTTTTTATTGAAGCTCCTCTCCATATGTTTGCCAATCTCAAGAGCTCCTCAAAATTTTCCCTTTAATATTTAGGTTTAGAAAATACTATGTTCATGTTTTATTAAGTGAAATATTAAAATCTATTGTGGCATTTAAATTCTAGATTTAACGATCAAAATTTGTGATTTGTCAAATGCCATATTTATGAATTATATTTAATTTTACGAGTTTTTAGTTTTATTTTTATGGTTTGATGCCTATAGCTCACCTCACCATATAAAAAACACTTCAATTCCAAATTTTACCTTTCAAAACATTGACTTAATTAGCTATCTATTTACCATCCAAGTCAATTTATTCTTTCTTTTATATTCAACTTATATGCACAAGAGCTTAGATGGTAGACTAGACTATATTTTTCCTATTCGATCGGCAAAAGAAAATAAAACCGACAACATTACATGTGTTATACAACGAAGTCAACAAATAAATAAATTTATAATAGGTTCAATGCACGCAACTATATAATTTAAGCGTAGCCAAAACACATTTTCAGATCAGGTGCAATTCAAGTGCATGCACAATTTAATATAAATTCAAATAATTAAATACATATATGTGCATATATGCATACATTCTATATAGTTTTAAGTACAACTCAATCTTATTTTAAGATTACATGTACAATGCATTATTACACAAAATCAATAATTAACTCAAGTATTACATAAGGCATTGGACAAAATCACGCACATTTGGCAATCTACTACAATCCCAAGCCACTATGATAAGCATCATGTGAAAGATAGTTAAATCTAAAAGTCAATCCAAGCAGCCCAATGCACGCCACTGCTGATAAAATCACAGACTTCCAAATTTTATACTTTTTTGCATAATTAACTAATAATTCCATGACCCTATCCTTTTTTCATACAAAAATCTTCCATCAAGATGCTTGGAAGGAAATGGGAACTGTAATCTACTCGTTCATTCAAAATAAATATTAGATGTTTATTTTCATATTCAGCTGAGACACATTGATCAAAATAATTTTTTTTTTGGGATTTTTACATACACACCACCTAAAACCTTTCATATATATATGTTAAACACTCAAAACTTAAATACTTGCACATTAACCAACCCAAATATGTCCCCTCTGAAAACAGCTAATCACCATTACCCCCTTGCCGATTTGGTTGCCCCTTTTCCCACCCCTCAAATGCCATTAATGCCATCTCGCCATAACGACGGCCATCAAGAGAAGGATGGAGTAGGAGAAACATGAGTGAGAGTGAGAATCAACACCTAGGCAGGAAATGGCTTCTCATTCTCCGTGGCAACTGTCGAAATAAGCTCCTTCTCTAGATCTTCTTGCATAAAATAAATATCAATTTCTGTTTCTTGCAGAAAGACAAAAATCATCATTCTCTTCCATAAAGCTCACTGCACACCTCATTCTCTTCCATGGTAGAAATATCAATTCAAGATTCTGCGTTAGAAAGAAAAATATACTGAAACGTTCCAAATAGAGTTTATCATCAATTATTTAAACAGATTATCTCACGCCCAAAAATTTTTAATGGCCCAACGGGGCATGCAAAGATTGAACCAGGTAACGCCCAGATTAAGTATAATCTCTTTCCCCCACCAAAACAATCAAGGAGACGCTAATGTTCAGGTCAAATACAGCAAAACAATAAAATATAAAGAGTACTTGTATGGATTTTTACATGCTTCAGACTAATAAAAGCACATCACTTCTTAACTTTTTAAGTATACCAGAAATGAAGAAATGCAGAAAAGCACCAATGCACTCATGAGCTGAGCCCGGTTAAGAGTAAGGGACAAAAATTAAACCTCAGAAACCAGCTAGAATACTATAAAATCTTGTTTTTATGTAATCAATGAAAATAGCAACATGCTAATCCTGATCAAATTTACACCGTATGAACAAAAGAGGCCAATTTTTTTCAGACATGAAAATTTTACAGGTGCATCCTACCAACGAAGAAACTTTTCTGGTGTAAAAGCTGCATCCAAATCATTAAAAAAATAATAATAATCAACCAGATTGTAAGATCAACACTAGAGTGAAATTATTAGTATGAAAATGATTAGATGATTTGAAACATCAAATAAATATCTGTTTATTTTGATAATTTATTATTCCAATCATGAAATGTATTGTACTACTTTACAATTATCAAGTAGTTCTCATCTATCTTTCATCAATTATTTAGAAAATTTATTAACTTATTGATACCGGAGTTAACCCAAACAATAATAGAAAAGCAAATAACATTATCAAAAATAAATATGTGATTACAACAAAAAACACTTGAAAGGAAAATACAACGACAAACACAAAAAAACACAACTAAACTGTATTCAAAAGTGGTGGTCGGATTTAAGAGTGGGCCGCAGGCGGAAGGTGGTGAGGCATTGGAAAGTAGGAGGACGAAGGGGAAGTTGTGGTTGGCTGCAGTGGGGAAAAAGGGGAAGATGGCTGGCTGAAATCAGTGAAAAAGCATCAGCAAGGAATCAGCTACTTGCTGTCCCAGGCGGCGGTAAGTGGCCCAAAAAGAACAACCGTAAGTGTTGTTCCAGGCGGTGGCAGCAAGTGAGTGGTGGTTGGGATTGATAACATGTGTATGGAATGAGGGAAATCGATGTCTGGGTGGTTGTTCTACAGAAAAAAGACAGCAAGGTTGCTATCCCGGGCGGTTGGAATGAAGAAAGGGAAATATCTAAGGGAGGAAGGCGCCAAGGGTATTTTTTTTTTTTTTTTTTTTTTGGGGGGGGGGGGGGGGTTTGGGTGTAGGAAAACAAGAGAAGCACATCACCTCAAAATGAATTATAGATAGAGCACCTTCTCGACTTCGCATACAGCCCTAGAAAGAAGAAACTAGGATGTCAATCAATAGCTGTCCTGACAAAAAACAAAGCAAAAACTGAATACCTAATACAAAGGAAGCAAATATATAGACCCTAGATATTTAGGATTAAGCCCCGCTGTTTAAAGGAGGTGCCAAAACTCTAGAACGGAGCTGATTGGATAAGGCTCCATCACTTTTCTCTACACACCCACCTCAGTCTCCCAGGGTTGGGGGAGCTTCGACTTTATCCATTGAAGTTTTTGCCTCCTCTTAATATGGAGTCGGATCAAGCACATTGAAGGTGGCTGAGTTATTGTAACTCCTGGGTTTGAAGAGTCTTAGACTACGCCAATATGAGCATCGAGGTCATTTCCTCACTCCAACAAGCAAAAAGTGCCAACATCTGGAAGGAACAACAACAAGGCTTGGAGAACTTCTCTTTCCTGGCTTTTTGTTCAAACAGGTTTTGTTTAAACACAAAGATAGAAAAAAGAAAATAAGTGCTCATACTTGTTCACAACATTCCAAGCATGTTAGGTTTTTTGTTAGGAACATGAATAGCGCACATTGTCTTTTCTCCTTTATCCTTTTTGACTGCACCAATGTTTTGAAGGGCTAGGCCCTTTTTGTTTGTACTTTTTGTAACCTTTTTGGCATATTAATTTAAATGCAATATTTCAAAAGATCCCGCTTTGGAATAATATTCACAAGAGAGGGGATTCTATTATTTGGAAGTTGGTAACTGATGGGCCCAAGCCTTAAAGCACACTGTAAGATGGAAAATTGCCATCGGAAGGAGTTTTGGTTCACGGATTTGGCCCTTAACCGATGGCCCTCATTTATAGACAGCTGATAAAGACCTCTTGCGTCTTTTAAATTCCCCGGCAAGGATTTCAGAAAACTTCAGCAATGCCTTGGGGAGGAGCTTGGCAACTGAATTATACAAATTCCAATCCATAATCAACACCAAGAGGATCACATGGAGCTCATACACACATACACGGGTTAAACAGTTATCGCCCTCTCTTATGAAGTCATGCTAAAAAGCAACCGCCACTAGTTCAGTTGGCTTAAGAAACTCAGGATTCACACGCACGAACAATTTTTTTTTTGGTGGAAGATCACTATTGCAGGGTTCTGAAGCCTGAATTGGTTGCAGAGTGCAGAACCACTTCAGCCTTGTTGTTGTTTGGCCAGCCGGTCCAAGGGGTTCGGTTTTACCGCCCAAAGGGAGGGGCTTCTCACCCTCCTAGTTATCTATTAGCATATATATATATGTTGTTTTGACTGTTTGGGATTCAATTTCTGCTGAGTTTTCTGTAAGGGCAGTCATCGACATCAGTTATCCCCTTCCAGAGTTGTATTTGAAGGCGAGAAGATGCTTCGACTGTAACTCGTCTAAAGTGGTGAACTTCTAGTGGTGCTCTAGCCGTCGCTCAATCCCACGGGGATATTTATCCTTACCCAAACTCTCAACAAACTTTTCAGCCATCTCCCTTATTGCCTCTATTACAGTCCTCCATCCTCTGTCCAGCACAACGAGCCGCCCCCCTACATGCTTTCCTAGCTATCGGCAAGTCCAACCTGCACTGCACTACCTCCAGCCCCCTGTTGATTGCTATCTAGCCGCTCCTCCCTGTACCACACTACCTCCAGTCACCAATTCGTTGTTGTCCAATGGCTCCTCCAAGTGTCACCTTGTCGCCAACCACCTGTATTAAGTTGTCCAGTCGCACCCCTACCACCACCAATCTCCTGCTTCCACTAACACAACTGCAGCCCACTACTTGCATCCTTGCCCTAGATAGTCTTTGGCGTTTTGTGTTGTTATTTTCCTATTGTCAAGTGTCTTTGTAGAAACCCCTTTTGAATTTCAACAGTAATATTTGCATTTCTACTGTGATTTGGGTTAGCTCCGACATCGATCACTCTCAAGGCAATGCCAACCAATTGTTGGTTGTTTGAAAGAGGTCTCAATAATGATATTATTTGCTTGGGGCTGCAATGTTCAAGGGGATATTAATCATGTTACCACAAAATGTAAGGTTGATATTACAGTTAAACAAAAACTATAGCAATGGGGCATTTTTACTCTGAATTTCAACAATATTCAAGAAGCCACTCAGGTGCTCGCTAAGTTTGACAACAAAAATGCTAGTTAATTGCTATTTATTGTAAAGTGGCGTATCAATACTGGCGCACTAGAAATACAAAAAAGCATGCAGGGCCGTCGAAACTCCTGCTACTGCCTCCACTACACTTGAAGGTTTGACCTCTAATCACAAACTTTAGCTCGAGGAGTAATGGGACATTAACCAGCCTTATAGACTTATCCAAACTCCTCTTCGATGTACCCCCACCCTCCCGGTTGGCTCAAATTTAATGTGGACATGGCTATTATTCCATCTAGTAAGGGGGACATCAGCATTGCTATAAGAGATGAGAAAGGCAACCTTATTCTTGCAGTTGGCAGATCTATTAAAAATTGGGATGTTGCACATGTTGAACTCATGGTGATCACCTTTATCAAGCACTATGTGGAAACATGGATGTGTGACGGTATCATTATTGAAAGTGATAACAAAAATATCATTGTTTCGCTCAAACAAGCAAAGAATGCTAACACTTGGAGGAAACAACCACAAAACATGGAGAACCTGTCTTTCCTGACTTCATTTAAACAGGTTATATTTCATCATTAAGAAAGAAAAACGAATATAATTGCTCATACTTGTGCAAAAAATGCCATACATGTTAGTTTATTTGTTAAAAATGTTGATAGCCAACATTTCCTTTTCCCTTTTGTCGATTTTGACCGACCTCATGTTTTGACGGGCTAGGCTCATTTTGTATTGTTTTCTACTCCTTTTGGCTTATATTAATGCAAAATGCCATATTTCAAGGGATCCCACTATTGGTTGCGCTCTGCTAAAGCACCCGGGGAATTTTCTCCACTAGCAAACATTAATCTAGATTGGTCCAATCTTCCGGAGGTATACTACGGAACTAAACTGAGCCTTCTTGCTAAGTATATTTTTTCGAATCCTCTAAAAGTATCCCAAGGTCGGATCAACCTGATATGAAGTAAGGCTAGTCTGAATCTTATATAAGGATGACAACCATGGCAGTAAGCTATCTTACATGATACCCTGAAACTCTCTCTATCATAGTTGTATTATATCTGCAGCTAACTTTTCTATTTTGCAATCCCTTGTCATCACCATGACTGATCCTCCTGATGCTTCTCTGCTAGCAAGGGCACCTGTAATCTCGGACTCCGTAGAAGGTAGAATGATGAAGCATTTTCCATCTTTGATGAATGAGTGTGTTCATTTACCCGTCATATTGAATATGACGATCAAACTATCACGGTCTCCCCAACAAAAGATGACAGACATCCATCGGCACTAAGTCGCTCTAAACTTGATCCTCCAGTAGAATCCCAATCAAAAACTCCACGAGACATCTCCATGCAATGTTGTTCATGTTCTCATTCTTTAACCACGTCAAGAAATACGGCTAGGAGTGTCTCTGAGCCAGGAGGCTCAATTTGTCCACTATTGGTGTAGATGTCATGTTCTCGTTACTCCGTTCATCGATTATGAGACAAAATACATTTTCCTTCACAGTGCAACGTGTGTAGAATATGTTGTGGAGAAGCCACTACTGATCCCTCGTAGCATTAATCTATAGGACTCGTCGAACCACAAGCATCTCGCCCTCATCCGATGAAAGATGGTGCTCTTCAACCTTTTTATCAGCTACCTCTTTGTTGTTAATTTCATTTACTGCACCATGCTCGATAAAGAACAAAACTCGACTCATCTGAAAACTGGATGCGATGTGATCAAATCCATGGCATCTGAAGCATTTCCTAGCTAGGACTGTCATTAATGTGCTACTCTTCTCAGGCTTCTTCTCACTCTGAGTAGCTACGTCCTTTTCCTGACTAGTCTTCTCAACTCCCTAAGGCGTGCTCATCATGATGTCTCCACTTGAGAGTAGCTGTCTAAATGATGGTGGGCACCTACTCTTCTTCTATTGTCTCTTCACCTTCAGTGCCAATGGTCTGGACTTCACCCAAAGATCAGAAAGGTTGTAGCTAGACCACATTACTGATAGCGAGCTTCAAGCCTCCCAAGTACTTGACTATCTTGTGCTCCTCTAACTCTATCAGTTCACATTTCAGCTTGAGCTGCATAAACTTCTTTATGTATTCTACTAATAGGTCCCTCTATTGTAGGTAGTGGAGCCAAAGAAAGGATCCTTATGATAGTGTGAGGGTAAGTACTGTCGCTACAACTCTCTTATCATCTTTTCACAAGTACAAATCTTGCTCCACCCTTCTCTATTCCTCTCCCTCTTCTCCCACAACAATAAAACACTCATCTTTACTTTGATAGCAACAAGTTTTACTTTCCGGTCATCTAACACCTCCTTCAATTCAAAGATCATCTCGACGGTCTGCAACAACTCTATGAAGTTATCCAGATTCATCCTCCCCTTGAAATTCGGTATGTCCACTTTCAGTTCAAGGTCTCTTTATCTTCCAACATGCACTCTGTCTTTGTATCATCTAGCAAGCACTTCGTCTCAGTCTCCTCTAATATGCATTTTATCCCTTGGCATCCTCTGATATTGTATCATAAAAGCATTGTGGCATGTCTTCTTTTTCACTGAAATCATCCCTACAGAAGGGATTCAGATCTTCTTCTCTCTCCTTGTCGGAGTTCGCTACTACACTCGACAGTGACCTCTCCATGAGTTCTTTCCTCAATGTCATTGAGCCATTGTAACACTAAGAGAAGTCGGTGTGTCTCTTCCATGATAAACTCCTGATTGGTGTCCTAAACTTAACTTTTCAGTAGCATCATTAGAGTTTAAACTCGGAGGGGTGAAATAGTGTGTAGGAGTGATGTAGGGTAAAAAAGAAAATTTTTTGGGTGGCCGGTTTAAGAAAATTAGCAAAGAGAAGGGTGTTGTCTGGAGATAGAATTAGGTTTAATCATCCTAATTTTGTTTTAGTTATTTCGCATAAATTTTTTGTAAAAAAAATAAAAAGAACTTAACAACCACATTTTTATTATTTGTTTAATCATCCTTTCGATTAAAATAAAAGACAAAAACTGAAAAACTAAAAAAGATATATACTATGGATAATTTCTGACCTGCATAGTCATGTCACATGTAATAGAAATGGAAAAACAAGAAATTTGAAATAGGCATTCAAATGAAAAATGTCTTTCGAAGTTGAGAGTTAGAGGAGACGTAACCTTGAGAATGAGGCACACTGAGCAAACTTCCCTGGGCAGTACACAACTCTTTTTACTTCAGAAACGAAGCGATCTTGAAGCCATCGAGGCCCTGTATTTTATGAGAATGTGAGCCACCACAAAACAGTTTCAAGAAAAGAAATTACAAAATATGAAAATCAGCTCACCAAGCGTGACAGCATTTAGCAGCCTCCTGACGAACAATTCTTTTCTTATCATCAAGAGCTCCTGATAAAGCTGCCAGTATCTAAATTATGGTGTGGATCTAGTTAGCTAACACTAATAACATAACAAATCAGTATATCGAAGAAAAATGCTATATTGCCAAATACTGGATAACACTACTGTCAAAGGATAATTTTCTCTAAAGCAATCATCTTTGTCAGAACTGTATCAGTCATCCCAAGAATTGGACACAATCAAGAAAAATGATTCTTGTAGCTGAAATTAGATTATCTTTATCTAATTTCATAAAGGCCTGTTGTTGTTGATTATGTTTGATTATCTTTAATTAGATTATCTTTATCTAACACGTATGAAAATCTCTATTCTACAATTGAAAGTCTGGTGTATTTCATTACCCTGCAATTATTATGAATCGAATCACTTTCTACTCAGATCCTCTCTTTCTTTCTCTCCCCCTCCCTTCATAATTCCAACCTAATGACCAAACAAAAACCCAATTCCAAATCTGGTCCCAGAACCAGCTATGGGGAAAACAGCCCAGTACCATAATATCATGAACGATATGATAATATATAATATACATCTTATAATTTCTCTTCATTCCTTAAATTTTTATGACACAATACTGACACCGAATAGTGCTTGCAAGAAAACACAATTAATGTTATACTAGACACATAAATATAATTCTACCACAAAGAATGATAAGAATGTGGACTCTAATTCCAAACCATAATATGTATAAATTAGGTTAACAGCAATTGTTTGACACACAAATTACAAATGCTATCTAAATCTGATCAAGAAAATGATTATGAAGTGGCCGTGACCGAAAAAAGAACACCCGGTTTTTCTTTCCTCGATACCCAAGAACTCCACAGCTGGGTCAACAAAATTGCTGGACGTTAGAGCAAAGGGAATAGTTTCTATATAAAAACTGCAAAGAGAGAGAATCTGATGTAGATAATTCTAGAATTGAGATTTATAGAATTCTGACATGGGAAGTGTACTTGAACCATTAATACCCTGATCTGCTTGCTGAAGTGGCTTTTGGTTTTACGAAATTTGCTTCTTGTTCAAGTTTTTTGACAATTGTCGGAGGGTTAGGGTTGCAGCTGGCTGAATTTCATCCCGAAGGCTAAGGACAATAGCAAGACGTCTTTACTAAGAATGACCTGATCCTAGAACAGCCTGCACTAAAGCTCTCGAAGCTGCCACTGTAATGTTGAAGTAGGACAACCGAGATTCCTCTACTTCAACTGGACAACTCTTAAAAAGAAAAACAAGCGAACAGGCTAGGGAAAATAGCAAGACGATATCATGAAGTATGACCTGGTCCTAAAACAGCCCACACTAAAAATCTCGAAACAACCACAATAATTTTGGAATAGGACAGCCAAGATAGCTCTACTTCAACTGGATAACTGTTAAAAAGAAGAACAAGCGAACAACAGGGTAGGCTAGGTGGCAATCAATCTTGGCAAGATCTTGAACCCCACTTTGCTTTCCTACTCCCCGCCTTCCCTAAACTAAGGGAAGCCACCCTGAGGAAAGAGAAATCCTACCCAAACAGGACAAAACAGAAACTAGCTTGCCAAAAGAACTCCATCTCCTAACGTAACAATGGGGTATTTATGAGAAAGGAACACCAAAGACCTAACTACTAAACTTCGCCTGACATAAAATATAAAATAAGGCTAACAAAACTAAGGAGGAAAAAATAAATAAAAAAAACACAATTCCTAACCACGTCATGCTCCCCGATGGAAGAAGACTCGTCCTCGATATCTACTTCATTTTCATAGTCTGGTGAATGTCAACTACATTGAAGATGGCTGATACATTCATATCTTCAAAGAATTCAATTTTATTGACATTTTCTCTAATGCTTTTAATGACCATTTGGCTTGTTACCTTCAATTTAAGCTTTAGCAAAACGTACACGAGGAGAACGTTTTTTGCATAAATGAATTCAAGCCTGACTGTTCCTTGAATGAAACAGAAGTGCTAGATTTATTGACTTGCTTTCGATGTTGAGCGCTTCCCTAATACATTTCTCGAATTTGAATGCATAAAAAAAGTACATATTTTAATCTCCCCAAAATGTTATAGTGCATTAATATAATATTGAAAAGTACTAACCATAGAAGTCAAATCTTATGAGGTGATGAGATTCTGGCCATATATATCCTAAGGACAAAATGATCCATAATTTGACTAATGGAAGATTGTAAGTTATGTAGCACCGTCACTTCTAAAAATAAGTCATACTCACCTTAGACAAGCATCAAATACCAACACTTGTCCAGCACATCCCAACACTTGTGGGACCCATAAAATATGTATTTGAATTTTTTTCGGTCCCAAGCACAACCGAGATATGCTTTGACACTGTATCACATATGCACTCAACACGATTTGAGAAAAATGGGACACAACAGCAACAAGCCTTTATCCCACTAAGTGGGGTCGACTACATGAATCCTTTTTCTCCATTGTGTCCTATTGAGTGTCATTTTTCGTTTTAACTCCAACATATTAAGATCATTTTTAATACAATATGCCCAAATCTTTTTAAGGTCTACCTCTATCTTCATAACATAAGTGGAATATACACATCTATTCCCCTACAAGATCATCAAATGATCGACGTTTAGTGTGACCAAACCATCTGAGACGACTCTAATCTTGTCTGCCACTGGAACTACACCAATCTTATCACTGATAAATTCATTTCACATTTTGTCTCTAAGTGTCAAACCATTCATTTACCTAAGCATTCTCATCTCAGCAACACTTAACTTCGTTTTATGCTTCTCTTTTAAAGGCCAACAATCTGTGACATAGGCCATTTCAAGTCTCACCACCATCTTGGTAAATTTTTTCTTTCAGTCTAAGCGATGCTTTGCTATCACACAGTAGGCACGATGCATTCCTCCACTTCCAACAACCAACTTGAGTTCTACTAATAATATCCCCAACTATATCACCATCACTTCGAACAATGGACCCGAGATATCTAAAACGTTTGATCACCCATAGTTACAACTCAGCCACTAGAGCCACTACTACTACTAAAATTATATTACATGTATTCAGTTTTAGATCTACTCCCACGAAGGCCTTTAGACTCCAATGTAGACCTCCATAATTCAAGTTTTTTTTGAACTCTTTCTCTAATCTTATTCACAAGAAGGATATCATCAATAAAAAGAATACACCAAGGTACATCCTCTTATAAATGTCCAGTAAGAGCATCCATATAACTAAAGCAAAATGATATGGACTTAAAGCCGATCCCTTATTTAATCCAACTGAAATAGGAAAATATTTGGTCAATCTTCCTTCTGTTCATACACAAGTAGCAGCGATAGCATACATATATTTAATGACTTGAATATAAGTCATATCAACACATTTTTTTTCTAGAACTCCCCAAAGAAACAACTCTACAGAAACGGGGCGCGTGAAGTAGAAATTTATAAATATACGTATAGTCATAATTATAACTCATAGTCGAAGCCACCTTCTTTCTCATCGTGTCACAGTTCCCCCTAAAATTTGTCAAAATTGAACATCGAAGGTGCGTTAATATTCATCGAAGTCGAGCATCAATAGTTCCAACTTTTTAGGTTGAAGTCGGGAGTCAAAGGAGCATATTGCATTCGTCAAGGAAGAGCATTATAATTCTTTTTTGTTCATTGAAGTCGAACATACACCCGCTATAGCATAAGTCGTAATTTTCTTTGTTGCAACCTGAGAAGGAATCAACCTGTTACTGAAGCCGGTCCAAATGTCCCACGAACTTTGAGACAGTTGCACCGAATCTAGTATTCCCAAGAGAGTGGAGGTTAGAATTGCCCGGTCCTGCGAGAAATAAAATTAACCAAGCAAAGACATCATCATCACAAATCCTAACAAATGGTCAAAATCATATCGCCTTCACAATTCCTTCACAAAAGAATGTATCTTAAGGCAAAGATCTAGGTAATGAAGAATACCTTCAATACAGAAGTAATTAGAGCTTTTGGCTCTTTTTGATCGGTTTAGTCGAGGCTAAGGAGAAATTGACATGTTCACTTTTATTTGGAGCAAGACCCACTCCTCCTTACCATTAAGTCTATTTATATGATGTTTTTGTGTTTTAAGTCAGTTTTGATTCAGTTTTCAGTCAGAAAAGTTGTCAATGTCCAAGTTTCCCCTTCTAGAGTTGCATCTGAAAGCAAAGAGATCCTCCAGCTGTAACTCCTCATCAGATGGTGTTTATCTACCCTTACCAGACCTTCATCCCAGCCGCCTAAATTGCTACCATCTAGGTCGAAATTATTTTGCCAGTAGTCCGATTGTTGTCCAACCACAATTCCTTTGCCGCCACTCTTCCATCACCCT